CAGCCATGTGGCCCACAGTTCACCCCACTGGGAGGCCTTGTCAGAACTATCATCCCCCAGAATATGCTGGCTCTCTGATTAATGTAGACCTGAAGACCAATTACTAAATATAGCCATCTTGTAGTCAGAACAGCTATTGGTAAACTAAGGCAAAATGGCATACCTCAGGAGCTAAGTTTTCACAGATAAGGCTACTGGAGGTGGCAGGGTATTTATTAGGGCTTAGATCAGAAGCCTCAGTTTCTGGCACAATTTCAATTTGTTTGTGAAGGGCACATATAGCCAAGAGATCTAAGCAAACATGATCTTAAATGTATCCTTTCCATTTAACAAGAGAGTCCTTCCATGACCTATCTACTTTATAAGAGGTACCACTCTGCATCACTCAACTCATAATAGGCAACTCAGGGTGGAGGGTGATAGTATAATCTTATGTCATCTGTTCAGTAGCCTAGTAGCATGTAAGTAACTGCTTTGTTACTTTGCTACTAAATTTTTTTCTGTTTTCAATTAACGAGTGTTTCTCTCCCTCCCATTTCCTCCTCATCCCTACCTCCACAAATGAAACATTTAAAAAGTAAAGCAAAACCCTTAAAACAAATAAACACAGTCAAGTCAAACAAATTCCCATACTGGACATGTCTAAAATATATCTACATCTATATGTCTCATCCTGCATCTTGAGTCCATCAACTTTCTATCATGAGGTGGATACCATGCAACATTCACTAGTCCCCTGAACTGTGGCTGGTCAGTTGCATTGATTAGATTTCTTAAGTTTTTCAAAGTTGTTTGTCTGTACAATATTATCATACAAATTGTTATCCTGGTTATTTTTATTTCACTTCATTCTGCATCAGTTCACACAAGTCTTCCAAGGTCTCTCTGAAACTGTTCCTTTTATCACAATAGTATTCTTATATTCATATACCACAATTTGTTCAGCCATACTTCAATTGTTGGGCATTCCCTTAGTTGCAAGTTCTTTGCCACTACAAAAGGAGTGGCTAAAACTATTTTATACATAAAGGTCTTTTTCTTCTTTCTTTGAACCCTTGTTATAGCCTAGTAGTGGGGCCACTGGATGAAAGGGAAGATATACACACAATTTAATATAACTTTGGGGCATAGGTCCAAACTGCTCCCTGGAAGAGCTGGACCAATTTACAGATCCACAAACAATGTATCAGTGGGCCTATTTTCCTGCAACTTTTCCAACATTTGCCATTTTCTACTTTTTTCAACTTCTCCAATCTGATGGATAAGATGTGTCACTTCGGAGTTTCTTTAGTATGTACTTGGAGTACTTGGAGTACTATTTTCAATTTCATTGTTATTACTTGGATTTCTTCTTTTGGAAACTGCCCATTCTTATTCTTTGACCATATGTAAATTGGATTAATTCCTTATATATCTTAGAAATGTGAGACCTTTATCAGACATACTTGCTACAAAGATTTTTTTGTCCATTTAAATGTCTGCCTTCTAATTTTAGCACTAATGGTTTTGCTTGTGTCAAATATTTTGAATTTTGCACAATCAAAATTGTTTTATCTTCTGTGATCCCTTTTAATTCCTTATTTGGTCATGAAATCTTCCCTTATTCATAGATCCAAAAGGTCATTTTTTTTCTTGCTCCTCTACTTTGTTTATAATGTGACCTTTTATAACATATTCATTTAGAGGTTACCTTGGCATACAGTGTGAGGTGCTGGTCCAAACCTAATTTATGCCATACACTTTTCAGTTTTCCTAGCAATTTTTGTCAAACAATAACTTCTTATTCCAGGAGCTAAGGTCTTTAGGTTTATCAAACATGCTTCTGTATGTTGTATACCTAATTTATTCCACCAACTAACTTATTCCTTTAGAAGTATTTTAATAGCTACTACTTAGTAGTATAGAAATATGGTACTACTACACTCCTTTCCTTGCCTCTTTCCATAATTTCCCCAAAATTCTTGATCTTTTGTTCCTCCAGATGAATTTGTTATTATTTTTCTAGCTCTATAAAATAATTCTTTGATAATGATTAGTATGGTACTGAATAAGTAAGTTAATTTAAATAGTACTGTTATTTTAATTATACTGGCTCAGTTTACACATCAGCAATTAATTTGATTCCAGTTATCTAGGTCTATATTTCCATAAAAGATGTTCTGCAGTTATATTCATATAGTTCCTGTGTGTTTTTCAATGGGAATTTACATATATTGTAGTTGTTTTAAATATAATTTCTTAATCTTTTCCAGCTGGGCTGTTAGTAATATATAGAGGTGGTGATGACTTGATATTTTGCTACTCTGCCGAAGTTATTGTTTTAATTTTTAGCTATCTAAGGTTCTCTAAATCATAATCATCTGTAAGAAGCAATAGTTTTGTTTTTTTCTTTACCTATTCTTTATCCCTCAATTTCTTTTAGTTGCTTTATTGCTATAGCTAGCATTTTTAGCCCTATATGAAATAGTAATACTGATAATGAACATTCTGCTTTACCCCTGATCTTGTTAGAAAGGCTTCCAGTTTAACCTTATTATATATTATGATAGCTTATGGTTTTAGATAGATACCATTTATATTAAGGAAAGATCTTTATTTTTATATTTTCTAGTATTTTTAACAGGAATAGTTGTTTTATCTTGTTAAGAGTTTTTTAATGTATCTACTGACATAATCATATGATTATTTCATCTTTATAAAGAAAGAGGGTAAAGCAAGAATGTTTATTATTAGTATTACTATTTAATGTAGGTCTAAAAATGCTAGCTATCTTTCAGATGAATTTAGTTTTGAGTTTCCAATTAAATTTAATCCTTTAGTCAGCAGCCCTTTATTGAACATATTTTTATTGCATTGTGGTTAGTAAAAGATGTTTAATTTTTCTGCATTGGTAATACCTTGTCAATTTTTGTAAAGGTACCATGCAAAGCTGAAAAACATGTAAACTCCTTTCTATCCCACCAGAGACCTAAAATATCTAACTTCTAAAATTATATATAGGTCCTTAACACTTGTCTTTCTTTCTTTTTTAGATTTGTCTAGGTCTGAAAGAGGTCTTCCACTATTATGGCTTTACTCTCTATTTCTCCCTTTAACTCATTAGTTTTTCCTTTTAGATGAAATGCTATTCAGTGCATATATGTTAAATGCTAATGTTAATCTATTTATTGTCTATGGTACCTTTCCATATAATTTTCCTATTTCTCTCTTTTAATCTTTTTCCTATTGCCTTATCTGAAGTCATGATTGTTCCCTTTGATTTCTTTGAGGTCAACTGAAGCATGACAGATTTTGCTACAATTATATTTTCTTACACTTTCAATATCTTTGCTTTATGCCTGCTTTTTACAATGAAGAAGATGGTGAGACAGGATTGTGCTTAATGCTTGACTTATCATCTCTTCTCCCAACTATTCCTGGTAGTTTTCCTTTGGGGATTACTTTAAGGTGTTACCAGGATGATTCTATTTTACCTCTTAAAATATGATATGCAGGTTCTTTCATTGGGAATGCCTTTCAGGTAGTTCAATGATTTTTAAATAATCTCTCCTTATCTGTTTTCCAGGTCAGTTTTTTTTATATGAGACATCTTACATTTTTTCTATTTTTTTTTGTCTTTTGACTTTGTTTTAATATTTCTTTCTGTCTAAAAGAATCTTTAACTCTCATTTGATCTGTATTAATTTTTGAGGAGTAGATTACTTTGATAAGGTTTTTTTACTTCTTACTATGCTGTTAATTCTCTTTACAAGTCTTCTCTCTAAAGCTCTCATTTCTTTCCAATTATTTCATTTCTAGCTGTAACAGAGTCTCAGCCCTCAATCTTGTAACAACTGAATTCTTCATTTTAATACACAGTATGTGATCTTACTGTTATAAGTACTCCTTCCTCTAGTGCAGATCACCATCTCTCTCTGCCTTTATATCCTGTGCATCTCAGTCCTTTTTATATTTCAGGAATATTTACGCTATGTCCTCACTTTCACTACATCACCAACATATCTCCTTTTCTAGTCACATATACCCTTGACAATGCCTTTTATGTGACTTCTCCCACAAAAATCTTCAGTGATAATATGCTGCAGTCTACTTATATCAACCATGCATGTATCATTCCATTTGCCCTTTAGGTTACTTGCTATTTTGAGTCTTCTCAGATTGTCGTGTTCCATAGTTCGCAGCCATATAGCACTGCACTTAAATCTGGAAGGCACACTGGAGGTCATCTAATTCAACCCCCTCATTTTATAGATGGGGAAACTAAGGCTCAGAGAATTAAATGACTTGTCCTACATTATACAACTAATGATCAGCACAACTTAGATTTGAATTTAGGTCCTCTGACTACAAGACCATATTGTTAGAAATAAGATGGGCTTGGAGTAGTAAACAGCTTGGGATCATTCAAAATGTTAAACCTTTTCCCAAACGTGAAATATGAAATCTCTTTTTCCTCTTCAATTTTTGTACCAAGTCACTTTCTATCCACAACAGCTGTCCAAACAGGATATACTAATGAACTAATTCAATACCATAGCTATCATAGGGGCAATATACTTTCCCCATCCATCTTATTTTTCCAATACTGTTGACTAGTGTAGTTTCTTTTGATTATTATTGATGATGATGATGATAACTCACTGAGTAGTCTCTGCAGTGTTTTGGGGATCAATACGATCAACACAACATTATCAGGAAAGGTGTATCTTGAAAACTGTGCTATGGATAAGTAATTTCTTTTCTGTTTACTCTTCCTACCACTTCCAATTCTACCTACTATTTTTTTGGGGGGGAAGTTGTGGGGATGAAGAAAAGGGTTATCTCAATGTTTTAAAATTTCTGTATTTGTTTCTGTAAGTTCTGAGGCCCTGAGAAAGGAAAAAGAATAGCTAAGGAAAGGAAAAGGAAGCAGAAGATTAGGATGAGAGTTATGAAAGGTGAGAACATCAAACAAACAAATAAAAATACTCAGCATGTATCACAAATAGGAAAAGACTCACCTTGGTATATTCATCTTTGGCCTTGGTGAGCATTCGTAAGATATCAACTTCCTTGCCCTCTCCTGAATTGAGGATCATTGGGGAGATTCCTGCTCTAGCCCCCTGACGTGCTTTCAGTTGCTCATATTGAGTCAGGCTAGAAAGTGAGGGGTTATAAAGTAAATAGAAGAAAAAACTAGAAAAAATAAATAATGGTACAATGAAAATAACACTGGATTTGGAGTCAGAGGACATGAGTTTGAATCCTAACTCTTACTACCTTTGACAAGTCACTGCCTTTTGGGGCTTCAGGCTCCCCACGCTTAAAATAAGGTGGTTGTCATAGACCTCTAAGGTCCCTCTGAGTTCTCTTTACATCAAACTACAGGCTGAAATTATTTTAAAAAACCCACTTTTTAAAAGGTAGTTTGAAAACCACCTCCTTCAATAATTTCCATATGCTTATCCTTACATTAGAGATGAAACTAATTAGGAGTCTAAGGAAGTGAAAAGAATGAGACTTATGTTACGGGCACACTGACTGCATACCCAAGTTATAACAAAAGTAATGGGGACTCTCTAAAGATTCCTCTCAAGGTAGGACCTGCAAATTCAAAAGACCCTTGAAGATACTGCAAAGGAAAATGAAACTGGGTTCCTTACACTGAATGTGGAGCCAAAAAACAGGGCTGATCTCCTATTTAGCTGCTGGAGTTGTCACCTTGGAGAAGCCCTGCCTCCTACTTCTAAAGCTGAGTCTCAGTGGAGCTATTTGAAACAGGGAGGAGTCCTTTTTTGGGGGGGTAAGCCTGACAACACAGAGACAGGCCCAAACTGCTTATGTCCTGAAGCTACATAATCCTGAAAAAGGTATTTTTACCTTGTAGTGATTTGGGTCTTGAAGTGGGCTAGATCATAAAGAATGACTAGTTACTCACTTAAAATTAATGAAGCCTGTAAGTCACACTAGGAATAGAGTTCCTAACAATCCTGACAGCAAATAACTCCCAAACTGCTATGTTAGGAAATGAAACAGCTCTGAGGTAAATGACTGGTGCCTGGGAGAGAAGGCTTTTGTAAAGCAAGTTAAACAATACCAGCTCCAGGGTACATTGTTCCACAGATCTAATACAAATCCCTGCTATGTACCCTGGATGACCTTTCTTTTCTAGACACACCTCCATGAGGGTTTGGGATGCCAGGGGAACTTTGTCCAACTCAAACCCTGTATCCTGAAACCTGTATCCTAAAACTGCTTCTATAGCCTTTCAGAAAGCTAAGTAAACTTATATTCAACTTGATATACCTATATTTATGTGTTTCACTTTCTGGAAATACTAGGTCTTGTCTCTTGGTCCCATAGTAGCTGCAGACATTACTGAGCTAGTGGAGTGGCCTTATACTTGGCCTAGAAGAAGTATTAACTCTAATACCTTGAATTCCATGGCAGACAAGGCCACAGACTTACTGAGGAATCTTAGCCTAATTGACAGAGTTATGAATCTACAAAAAATGAACTATTAACTGCTATTAAAATTTTTGCTCCAATTATTTGGTAGTTACAACAGAAGGTTGATGTATATCAAATACTGCTATTACAAAACCACTACAGTTTACAAAAGCATGCATATTCTGAAAATTAGTCTATAGCACACTTCAGTTAGTTAACTAAAATTAACAATTACAAGCTGGTTTCTCAGGAACTAATGATTATTAATGAAAAGGAAACTCCATTCATATATACATTGTGCTTTATGGCCACATTTTAGCAGCCACATTTGCTTTGTCATTCCAGTGTGATTAGCAATGAACAAAGTCATCTTTGATAAATATAGTCACAAGCAAACTCATTTCATTCCAAGACTTTTGTTAATTCATCACCACGAACAGAAAAGAAATAATTGCCTCAGAGTAAACAGATCTGAGAGTTTGGGAACTGACTAAAGGGGTAACCAACTGAAACGGAGGCAGTAATATGTCCAGTAGGGTCAATCAGCAGAATTAGTCTTGAATAGTGATGAAAGCTCAACCAAAAGAGAATTGGGTATATTTGATTGCACATTCATAGAATATTACTAGGATAGGGATAGAATTGAATGTGTGGTTTTCTTGGCACTGAAACACTCTTTAAACTCTACTACCAAACACATACCTTGTCTTCAACTTATGGCATGAGAATTGCTGAGAGAAAGACTGTCAAACTCAGATTTCTATGGGCTTCATAATGACTTAGAAAACTACAAATTACATTACATATGTTGCATTATACTTATATTATTAAACATTTCCCACTTATATTTTAATCTGTGTCACACTTGGGAATTTTGTTTCACATGCAGCCAGAGTTTGGCCTTGAGCACAGAGATGTAAGTGACTTGACTTCATCTCACAGCCAAAATGTGTCAGAGGCAAGGCTTGAACTCAGATCTTCCCGGTTCCAAGGCCAGCTCTCTATATACTATGCCATGCTGCCTCTCATGTGCACTATTAGAATTTTTTAAAGTAGCTAATAGCCATGTTAGCACGAAATTTTATAATGACCAATAATAAAAACAATTCCTAAAAGATGAAAAAGAAAAATAAAAACTGCATTAGCACATGCGCAGTTTGATTACTGAAAAAATTAAAATCTCCCAGGAAGTGGTAAAGGGAAAACAAGTGGGAAAATCTGGCAGAGGGATAGGGAAACTAAATTCTGTGCAGAAAAGGAAGAAAGAATCCCAGGAAATATGAACCTTTCAGTATTTCCCTCAAAAACTTTGCTTCTTCCTCTCCTCTTTACTGATATGAAGGCCACTTGTAAAGCAAAAAACAAAACAAAACAAAACAAAAAAACCAACTGGATTTAGAAAAGGAAAAATAACTACTTCACTACAAAATGTACACTCCTATTTGGGAATCACTGATATTTTACATAGTATCTGAAAAAAACAGGCTGAAGCTTATATATTGCATAAAAGTTAATGTAGCAGGCAAACATCTATGGCTATTTTTTGTAAAATTTCTACTGTCAAGTATTTCTAATATTAAGCATCAGTATTTAATTTCTTGATCATTATAAAGTGTTTCCAAAAAGAGAGATTTCACTAACATTTAGATGTATTTATATGTGTGTGTATATGTATATGAACAGCAGCTTATCACTACTTACCTTTTCATGAGCTCTGCAATTCTTTGGCATTCTTCCTTATCATAAAACCAAATTCCATAAATGGACACTGCAAAAACACAAATGTAAATTATGAGCAACTTCTCAACCACAAAATAGTGGGAAGTTCCTTTTCTCTTCTTCAAAGATATATTTAATGAATGAAAATAATCGTAGAAATCAAAAACTTAAAAAAGTAACTTTAGCCCTGAATTTGGGTGTAAATCTACAGAGAAATTTGCAATGATTATAAACATGTAGATTTGATACAAATCCTATAAACCATTTTATTTACTTGAAAATACAGTGATTAATAAGATGTCTTCAAATCAGTAGATGCTCAAAAAGTGTTTCTTCAGTAAATGAAAATAGAATGATCAAGGAATTGGAATTCTAATATTCTTGATTTTGTTTCTTTTTTGTACAATGTAGAAACATACTGTATCTTTATTTTTGTGTTTAGAAAAATTGATATGGGAACTATTCCCAGGAAAGGTGTTTTTCCCCCTAATTAAAATGCTGTAACAAAAAGCAGACATAGCTTTAAATTTATAGGAGACTGCAAAAAAAAAAAAAAGAAACTTAACCAATTCATTCTTATTTAATATACATCTCTTGAGATGATTAGACATGATTATAACTTAATAGATTATTATCTGAGGGAAAATTACAAGATAATGACAATTACTGGTTTCACTTGAGCATTTCAAAATAAACTCCAAAGTTTATCATTTGTTCAACTACATCCTCTTTATAAACGTAAGACAGAAACATTTCCAAAATACATTTCAGATATTATCCTGCTTCCCTGTTGAGTTTCTGTAATAAACTCTTAGCATGTTTGCATGGGATATACCCTCCTTTGACTGGCAGGGTGTGGATCAAGTAATGCCAACTCTTCACCTCCTCATTTGTGCAGTCTTCTACTTTCACACCCTTATTTTAATATTGTCTTATGCATTCAGTGAGTTATCTTTGTACCATTCTGATTTTCAGAGAATCAACTATTTGGGCAAGGGTCTCTGCCTCCTCCTCCTCCATGATCATCATGTACCACACTCTGTGCCAGGCACTGTGCTAGACATTTCACAATAATCACCTCATTTGATCCTCAAAACGACCTTGAGAGGTAAGTGCTATTATTATCCTCATTTTACAGTTGAGCAAATTGAGGCAAACATAAATTAAGTGACTTTCCTAGAGTCACATGGCTAATAAGTGTGTGAGGCTGGATTTGAACTTAGATGTTCCTGACTGCAGGCCTAGCATTCTATCTGCTGCACCACCCAGCTTCCCCACAGTCTGTTCTAAGTTATTTATTCTTCTCTTTCCTCCAGAGTTTTTATTTCACTTATAATTTTATTTTTTATTTCTTGTTTAATTTCTTCCAGGTACTCTTTTAGTATTTGAGGTCAAACCATTATTTTCTCTGAGGCTTTGCTTGCAGTTGTTAAGGAGTTATTTAGTTTTGGCTTATCTGTTGAGTATCTCCTGACCCACAATGTTTCTCTTCTAGGTGGCATTCTGTTTACTCTTATCTTTATTTTCAGTTGCTGATTTGAGACTTTGTGCCAGGGCTAGATGCAACACCCTCCCAAACTCTTGGATGATCAGGCCTTACTTATTCCTGACCTTAATTTCCTGGAGTGTGCCACTGACTTCTACCTCTCCTTGCATGTCTGTCTTCAGTTTAACCCCTCTAGTTAGTTTAACCCCCTGTTCCTTCCTCTAACTCCAAGACTGAGTGGTTTCAGAGAGCTTTGGTCATCAGGGCCTTATGTGTCTTAGATCAACCCGTTATGGACATCTGGCTCAATGTGGGCATCTATGTTAGAGTGTTGCCACTTTAGAGTGTGGGTTTCTGACACAATCTTCTGCCTTCCCCACCCACCCCTTACCCCAGAAATTCCCTATCAGAATATTCCAGGTTTCTTGCCTCCTGGAAACAGGGTAAATTAGGTTTCAGGTGGGAAAGGAGAATTTTTGTTAAGGGCACAGACAGATTTCCCATTTGTTTACCTGCTACTTACTTTTATGGCATTAGAGTTCCAAGTGCTGCTGGCTCCTATCCCTGAACTCAAGTTTTTTAACCTCCCTTTGAGCTTCCTCACCTGGCTACTCTGAATATCCTACATTGCTAAGAATGGAGAGCTGAAGGTTTCAGTTGCTCTTTAAGCATCTCTGGTTAGAATGCTAGCAGACTTTGCCTCGCTAACTTGCCTTCTTGCTGGCTGTCCTGATGGAAGGGTCTTGCAGGTTTCTGTATTTCTTTTTGTGTAGTCCTGTGATGAATGAATGAGCTTACTGTTACTTCTTTTGGGCTTTCTTAATCATTATTCAATCTGGTGCCCTTTTAAGATTTTTGCTGGAGTACAGGTTGAAGAGCTAGGTCTCCAAATGATCTTTTATGCCTCCATCTAGACCAAAGGTCCATCCTCTCTCTCTTGATATCATCTCCTTTTTTGGGTCTTATGATTCTCTTCTGCTCTCTCTGAATTCTTTTTTAGTTTCTTATCCTCTCCCCTTTCCCCTCCTCCACTTCCCCATCTGAGGGTTTTTTCTTGGTCCTTTGATCACTTCTCTACACTCTTTTCTTTGGTGATCTCTATACAAGCACAGCATCAATTATCACCTCTACTAAAAGTTACACCCACATCTTTATGCCTACTACCAAGGTCTCCCTAGAGTTACAATACTATATTTGCAATCACTTGTTACATGTTGCTACCTGGATATTGTGCCTTCATCTCAAACATAGAGACAGTGTGGTATAGAAGAGTGCTAGACTTGGGAGTTAGGAAGACATGGTTTTAAATCCTGCCCCCCAGGTACTTACCAGTTGTAGACCTTGAATAAGTCACTTAACCCTTCAGTGCTACAATTTCCTCATCTGTCAAATGAGGTAATTGGACCCAATGTCTGTGAGGTCCTTTCAAGCTCTAAATCTGTGATCCTATGTCCAAAATTAAAGTGATCACGTTTCCTATTTCTGCTGATCCTTCCAACATTATCTCAGTTACTCCAACATATAATCTCCATCTTTTTAAACTTTTTCCTCTTACTATTACCATGCTTCCCATCCAATCAGTTAGCAATATCTCTCATGCCACCCTTCTCCACTCAGATGGCTACCACACTAGGTCAGGCCTTCATTACTCTGATATATATTATAAGGGTCTCCTAATTGCTCTTCCTTCTTCCCTCACCAAACCACTCCTTTATATTGCTGCCCAAATAATTCCTAGTACCATCATATTATATAAATTCTCTAATCAAAACTCTTCAAGGGCACCCAAATACCTACTAAATAAAATATAAACTACTCACACTGTCCTTCAAAAGGCCTACTACAATCTGGTTCCAATCAAATATTAGTTAATTGGCTCCAAACTATCTTTCCATTGTATTTCATATTCTCTCCTCTTCATATATACAGTATTCCAGAAAAACTGTAATTTCTGCTCCTCTTCTCCCCCCAATTCTTGTTCTCTCCTTCTTATCTCTGGCCTTTTGCCTGTGTTATCTCAGATGCCTAAAAAGGGTCACATGGGTTGGAGTCCCTCCTTTCCTTCAAGGCCCAAATCAGGAGATGCTTCCAGTAAGAAGCCTTTCCCAATCCTCTAGCTAAAAGCAGTCTCTTAATACCTTCTCTCTTGAATAAATTATATGTACACAAGTCTTCATCCTTGCCCCTCATCTCTACCTATTAGTTTGTAAGCTCCTAGTTTTACAGAAGTCCACGTTTTACAGAACAAATTCTTTTATTAAAGGGATTTGTTCTGTTCTAGATTCAGTGAAAGGGCCACATTTGAGGACCTAGAGGGCCACATGTGGCCTCAAGGCCGCAGCTTCCCCACTGCTGAAGGAACAGGGGCAGCAAGGGTGCAGGGTGAGTCACTTAACCCTGTTTGCCTCAGTTCCTTCATCTGTAAAATGATCTGGAGAAGGAAATGGCAAACCACTCCATTATCTTTGCCAAGAAAATCCCAAAATGAGGTCATGAAGAGTCGGATACAACTTAAAATGACTGAACAACAAAAAAGGAATAGGATCTCTGCTATATCTGTCTTTGTAACCCTTGGCCTAGCCTAATGCCTTGCACATGGAAGGCACCTAAATGTTTGTTGAACGGAACTGAATTATAAGTTTTAGGCTACTATTCCTAGCATTTGATATGAGGAACTAGGTCTTCATCAGGGGAAGGTGCCAAGAAAACTGTTAGTATACACCAGCAGGGCAATTTGACATCGTCAGTACCACAGTATAACCGAAATGCAGATTTGGGAAAGGAAAGTGCTAGGAAAACATCTTTAAAATGTCAAAAGAGAAGGAGGGAAAAACAGGGTTCCTGGAAATTATTTTAAGATAGGGAGGAGACTTCTCCACATCAGGAAACATTTTCTGGCTATTCAGCCAACACAAAACAGCAACATAGCTTCAATATTAAAATGAAATAATCTGAAATAGTCCTTTAAATTCTGAGTAAAGTTTAATATGTCTTTTTTTTTTTTGGCTAGGCAATGGGGTTAAGTGATTTGCCCAGGGTCACACAGCTACTAAGTGTTATGTGTCTGAGGCTGCATTTGAACTCAGGTTCTCCTGAATCCAGGGCTGGTGCTCTATTCACTGCACCACCTAGCTGCCCCTAGTTATTCTTTTTTTTAATATGAATGTCAAGTTTAAATATCAGGAAATAGTAACTCAAACTGCTGACCCAGTGCTAGGCAATGACACATATTACAGTATAAAATGAAGGATCACCCTCCTCGCCCCAACAATAAAATATCTTCATGATTTGGGCAAAATCCCATCAGGACCAAGGTAGTGAATTTCATTAATACCAAAAAAAAAAAAAGCAACTGAAATTTTCTGCCAAGGCCTCTACACCTCTAGACAAACTTATTGCTCTTCCCCACAAGAGGTTATATCAAACTAGCTAGTGGTGATATATAAAAACCAGAGCTCCTCATGCCTCAGGAAGGTGAGGAGCTGACAGGCTGACACAGACCATAATTTCATACTTCAATCCAAGTTTTCTTTGGATAAAACTGATCTGACTTTAGCCAGACAGTGGTCATTACAACAAAGAAGGAAAAGGACCATGTTGTAAAGGGATAAGAATGAAAAGGTTTCTTTTAGTTAAAAAAATTATTTAAAATCATTTCTTATTTAAGAAGAATTTTTACAGCAGAAAATGGCAATGTTTACAGAAACATAAGGAAAGTGATCATGGAAACTTCTGAAGATTAAAATGTAACAGACATGTTTTCTATGTTTTTAAATTTTAAATTTAGAAAAGTTCCAAAACACAACTAAATTATTTTTTTGGAATCCCAACAAAGCAACCACTCATACAGAGGGATATTTGGACATTTACAATGCTTCAAGCCTTTGTTAAATCAACTACTCCTGCATATCAAACATTACCTAGTCACCTTCCAGCAGAAACAGAGAGGAAGTTTAAGGGTACTTTGGTGAATGAAGCTCAACTCAACTGTTTCTACATCTCACACGAAGGTAAGAAAGTCAATAATGACCTAAGGAATAAGACATGCTGAAATTTATTGTAATGTATCTTATTGATATTTAAACATATAAATAGTATGAGTTACATTCAATCATTACATGGACATTTCTTTGCCTTTACCTTGGTATCTAACACAGAATTTCAATAATATTGATGTACGAGGCTTAAGGTACTACTATCTAATGAAGTTCTGCCAATAAACACATGCCTTTGTAATATGTTATGCTATAGAAATTCTCAGGTCACAGGTGTTAAATTGGCAGCCTCAACAGGTAATGTAATATTAAGCATTAATTTAAATTAAAACACTGCTTCTACTTCTCTTTCAATTATCAGGTAAAGGAGACAGAAGTTTTAGGTCTTCAGAGAAATTTTAGAATTAGTCTTCAAGTGTGAATTCACACAGAGCAAGTCAGTCATGACTAGCTGGTGATTTTGTTGTTGTTTTTCAATTTCTTCTGTTGAAAAGATAAAAATATTCAATTTCAAGATGTTAAAAGCACACGCAATTCATTTTTAAAGACCATGTAATCATAAACTTTCATTTGTCATCATCCGATTCTTTGTAGCGTAACACACAACTAAATTGAAAGGTTTTTGGAAATTTATTTATATAGTGTATGCTCCTTATAAGAATTTCTACATAATCAATCTTTTTAAATATCTTTGTATTTCCATTACTTAGTATAGTGCGCTAACTGCTCTATATTTTATCCTAAAGACCTTTCAGTTCCAAATCTCTAAAATGAATCTTTGAAGTGGTTTGTTGATTATTTAAAAAATGATCAATGTTATTGCTTATATAATTTTAAAGGATAGAGACACATTCCCTGTACTTAGGCAATGGATAAAACACATGTACTAGAATAGGAAGAATTTTACAGGATATCACAGGTTCTTGTATTTGTGATGCTCTTTTCCTTTTTGACAATATTGCCAAAAGCAACTGGAAAAAAGGATTCTTGTTTGGCATAAGACATCAGTTATATTTTTGTGCTTCCTTTTTTTAAAATCTAGGATTTAAAAAAAAAACTGGGAACATAGCAGTTAAATTTAAGATTCCCTAGGTCTTTAAGAAAGCAGCTAGGAAAATGTCTTAAAAGCTCATTTTTTTCATGAGGAAGCATGAAGGATGGACATCTCAATATAAGAACAAGGAATGCTAAGTCATGGATCTATCTATCTATCTATCTATCTATCTATCTATCTATCTATCACTGTAGAGAAGGAGAGAGCACAGTCCTTAACTGTTTTATTTCTTAGTTTGTTATATGTTTTTAAAATGTGAACATGCAGAGGGCAGTCATTGTGTATACATGTGTGTGTGTATATATATATATATACACACACACATGTACACACACACACACATATATGTACACACACCCATAGAGAGAGATACACTGTACTTATAAACATATAAGTGCTTAATAAATAGTGCCAACAAATGTTAATAATAATGCAATAAAGTTATTCCAAAAGGTTACCAAGTATTTTAGAAAGTTCACAATGGCCACTGGAATGCATAGTCATACTTTAAAATGAATTTAGCTTCCTTAAAATTGACTAAGATCTATTTACATAACTTGTCATCTTGAAGGGAACTGGTATTACTTCTAAAAAAAAAAGACAAGGAAAAACTAAATAAGCTTCTGTTAATCAGCCTCTGCCTTCTTGCTACATATGCCTATCTTATCTTTTAAAGGATGTCTGGAATTCCCAGTGTTGGCAGTACACTTGCAGCAGTAAACGCTGAGGTCAACTGTCATGTCGCCCATGCACTGACAGCCATAGATGGGAAATGAAGGCTATGCTTGGCTGGTGGCATGCTGAATTTGTACTACCAGCCCATTCTGAATGCTTTGTACTGAGTGCTTTCCCTTCAGCACATTTTAACTAATGCCTTTAATGTGTTGTTCTTTCACTCCTCTTCTGCCTTCATCTTACTGACCAAACAGGAGCATGATCTAATAAGATATAAAACCTTTACTTGCCAGTGGCAAGCAACATAGCATTGTTATCTTTGGTCTCCTGGTCTGTTTCTTTTCACATGACATAGAGTTTTACTATGTCTCACAAATCAACATTCCCATGATCTTGAAATATCATGAGGTTGTTTTAAGGATAATTCATATCCATGAAAACTTTATTTAGAAAAAGTGGTAGAGAAGTTGAATATATAGTTTAAAGTAAGGAGCAACTTCTACCTTTCTAATACTGGTTCTCAAAAAAGTAAGTATAAGAATAAAACAAAACTACCAACTCAGGAATTTTACTAATTTGGATTAAATTAGCATTTATTCTAAACTCTAAAAGATAGTATTTTCAAAATGAAACAGGATTTATTAAACATCTTGAATTTATACCAAATACAAATCATGTCACTGAGTCTACCTACTCCATATAAGCAGCCTGGGTCCTCAAAAATTGAAAGCTCATGGTTTGACAATATCCTCAAGTTTAGGAGGTCAGATTCTTCATCCTTTAATACCTCTATGCTGTATTTAACACTGCTCTTCTAATTTCTACAAATTTCCAGGGAAAGCTCCAAATAAGTGTATTTTGCAATAATCTTGACATTTCATTTTTTAAGTTAAAAATTGTGAGCTAAATAGTAAGCTAAATAAAAACAATCTATCTCCTACCTAAATTATTTTATCCATAAATATATTGACCACTTTGACTAAAAAAATCATTCACATATAGAAAAATCTCTTGGATTTCTAATAGCTCACAATTAGTGCTTAAAATTTTACAAAATATTTTTCTGAACAGTAGCCCTAAGATAGATGTTGCAAGTATTATTATTCCCTTTTTCTAGATATGGAAATAGAGTCAGAAAGGTCTCTCAAGACCAATGGTAGAACAGGCAGTTATTCATAAGACTATGACATATAACTAAAATCTAAATTTAAATTTAGATTCAAATACAACAAATACTAAACTGAACTGTTATAAGGATTAACATAGAGTGAATTATTTTATAGTCCTTTAGCTTCAAAATGGAGTTTTATCAAAACTTTCAGAACAAGGAAGCCAGTTCAAACACAGAGGGGAACTAGTTCAACAGGAAACTGCTCCTCTTTCTCTTTTAGTTCTAAAAAGTTTGAGATAAAACACACACACACACACACACGCACGCACACACGAGAAACAAAAAGATGATCTACAGGCAGAAGATTCTTTTGTATGTTTGTTGATGACTATCACGGAATCTCAGAATCGGAAGGGATTATCTATTCCAACTCAAGAATACTTTCTGTAAAAAAAAAATTGCTAAATGGTCAACCAGCCATTGTTTAAGATCTCCAGTGAGGGAGAACAGTCAACCCATTCCACTTGTGGACAGCTCTAGGTGTTAGAGATTTTTTTCTTATAACAATCCTCTATTTGTTCACGGTTCCTAGTTCTGTCCTTTGGATCAAACAAAAAAAGTTTAGTCCATCTCCACCTGACAATCCTTCATACCAAAAGACAATTCTCAGGTTCATCCCCAAAGCACCTAAAGTATTCTCTTCTACAACCTAAATATTCCCAGTTCAGTTTCTTTAATCAATCCATTCAATTCAATAAGCTTTAAACACCTACTCCTGCTGGGCACTGTGCTAGGCAGAAGAGGTACAAAGACAAAAATCAAATAGTCCCTGCCCTCAAGTGGCTTACATTCTACTACAGGCAGGAAAAAAAATCAACATATACATAGAAAATTAAATATAAAATATCTGTGCAAAGTAATTTCCAGAAGAAGGGCCCCAGTGAATGCATTACAGGAATAATGGACAGCCTTTGCAAAAGCATGGAGATGGAGATAGAAGGTTGTATATGGGGAATAGTAAGCAGTCCAGTTTGACTAGAATGAAGAATGTGTGAAGGACAGTAACACATGTGCAATGAGCTTAGAAAGGTGGGCTCATATAGCATGATCTCAAGGTCCTTTACCTGCCTACCTGTACTCCTTTGAGTACTTTCCTTCCTAAGCTATGGTGTCCAAGACTGAACACAATCCTTCAGGGAACACAATCCTAGTCTGAGTTGGGCAGAGTATACAGAGGCTACTAACTTCCTAATCCGGACATTACGCAGCTCCTAATTCAGATAGTGCCTTCTATATAGTAGGTACTTAATAAATGCTGTTGAGTTCACTTGAATTGACATCGTGGATAAAGGTTCTGGACTTGGCATCAAGTCAACAAGCATTTATTAAACGCTTCCTATGTGCCAGGCACTGTGCTAAGCTCTGGGAGGACCTTGATTCAAATCTTGCCTTAGATACTAGCTGATGACTCTGGGCAAGTCACTTACTCTTTCTTTGCCTCATTTCTATAATCTGTAAAATAAGGGATTTGGACTCCATGGCTTATGAGGCTCCTTCCAGTTCTAAATCTATGATCCTATTCCTAAGAAATTATGTATGCTACTTTCTTTGTAATGGGAAGACAGAAAATTACAAGGACATTAATCTTACTTACAAAACATTTAAAGCCATTAGAAAACTTCAATAATATTTCAAAGTATTTGCTCTCTTTCTTTTTATTTTTTTTGTTTTGTTTCTTCTTTCTCATGATTCCTCCCATTGGTTCTAATTCTTCTTTACAACATGACTAATGTGAAAATATGTTCAATATGAATATATACGTAGAGCCTATATCAGATCGCATGCCACCTTGGGGAGGAATGAGGGGGAGAAAATTTAAAACTCAAAATCTTATGGAAGTGAATGTTGAAAACTAAAAATAATTAATTTAAAAAAGAATATTTCAAAGTATCCTGGAGTCTGGAATCTATTTTACTCTACATGAAAACAGAAAAAGAAAATCCAAAACAGAGAATTCAAAAAATTTGGAAAACATGAAACTGGTGAGTGGAAAAAGTAAATAAAACTTTTCAGTGTAGATTCAACCTGTTAAACACTTAATAGAAGGATTTAAATATGACACATTAAAGGCAAAAATGTCAACAAAAGCATATTGCTTCCCAAACTATAAAATCA